ATACATGTGGTAAATTTGGCACCCAGAAAACGAGGACCACTACATACCTCCCTCAGGCAACGGACAGACGAAAAGGACCAAAAATCTATGTTATTCCCGTTACGCGCTTTCATAAACTCTGCCAGCAATGATATATGAGAAACCTTTATTTCACAGAGCCCCCTATCTTATCGCAGCACAGTCCAAAAACCCATATGGTTCACCCCCTATATGTGGACATACGGGCAGAACCTCAACTACCCTGGGACGCCTACCTGCCTATCACACAGTCCGAGTTTCCCACCCGGCTATTTTACGTCACGCGATGTATCGAGATAAACCAAGCGTATCGAAGGCTTGCTCGTACACATCTGCAGCAAGCCCACAATTCACAAGCTAAGTTTAATGACGGCTTACAACACGGATCACCGTTCCAACGGAGCGATACGCTGTGGCTTCACAAGGTCAATCTCCCACTAGGAAAGCCAAGTAAATTCCAAAATCCTTAGCTAGGTCAGTTTTCCGTGGTGCAGTGCTAAACTAACAACATATACCGGATACGCGAGGAGTTAGACCCCAATGCAATTCCAGTCCAATTCACCAGGCTAAGGACGGGCCATTTCCCCCGAACACCTGTCCCTACCCTCCCGACCCACTGCGTTTAATCCCTAGCGATGATATCCCCAGTGACCATTCTCTTCTTCTAACCGCTGAGGACAAAGGCTCTTTGGATGAGGAGGCTTTGTAATATCCGCAATTTTTATATGCAGTAATAGTTTAAGTATATTTTTTCGTTTGTGTCTGACCTCTTATGAGCAACTGCATCGTTGATCTTCCTCTTGTATCTAGTTACCGGGACATTACATTGTCCTCTTCTTAGCACCCTTCAATCAAACCTTAACCGAGCACTCCTGTTCATACTCGTTTAGTGTGTTATGAACCCTCTAGGTAATCAAGCATTCAAGGAGTAACATGTCTCCACAGGTCTTAAACCCGCTCGGGGCACGACAGTTCACTGAATTGAAGGAGGCGCGCTGTATGACAAAAGGTTTGTGTACTGGCGTTGCTAAGCCCGCTGTTTAGAACGTCGTTTGTACCCTAACACCAAATTGCATTATAAGTTTCTCCTTTGCACACAAGT